TCTTGCTAAAACAGTGTCACAGTCCAGCCCAGATACAAGGCAGAATCCTACATACATATACAAGGGAATGGTGAGAGAGAGCAGGAATTGATATAAAATTCCAAGCTAGAGGGGGTATTCCAGCATTCTGAAATTCATGAGTCCATAACCCTAGCTTTACTTTTTAAATTTTAAATGTAAAACAAAAAATCGTACAAGAGACTGGCATGTGCTTATTGTGGAAAAATGAGAAAAATCCCACCAACTGTCATGCCCCTTTCATAGATAATCATCATATAATTGTAGTACTCCAGAATCAAGATATGGAAAAGTAATCATCTTTCTCTAAAGCAGAGTAACTCTGCCCACATCATACAGTGTGAGCTGGGTAGAGTGGGGCGGTCACATATGTACCAGCTGGGGAGTGCCTTCTGTATCTTATTTAAATATCCTATCTAACTGGTGAGAAAGGCATCGTTTTCATTTGGCGGGTGGGGAGGCTGAGCTGTCCAAAGCCTCAGCCTCTCCACCATTAAATCTCAAACCAATGCCCTGAGCCACTTCCTCCCTAGGTGAATAGGGAGACGCTGAGCGTCCTCTGGGAGCTCAGCTGCTGTAATGGGGAACGTTCTTGCCACGCGGAGGAGCCAGCTGTGGACGTTTCAATCAACAGCCTTCTCTGAGCAGACAGCTGACAGCCAGTTATCAGTCACTCACACCATGAATGGGTTGGGTTGGAGTTCTCAGCCCCTCTAAATCCCCCCAGAGGACCACAGCCCCCTCTGACATGGAGCAGACCTCACACTCTCAGTGAAGCCACGTCAATCCAGAGCAGGGAGAGTTTACAAGACAGCGGCTCTTTGAAGAGTCCCGAGTCTTGCCAGATTTGTTGATCCAGCAACGGGCCACCGAAATGGAAGGGAGCTGCCTGTGTTGAGGACCAGCGCCAGCCGGGCCTGCAGAGGGGGTTTCCTCCTTGAGGCAGTGACCCAAGTCAGGGACCTCCAGGGATCAGTGCAGGAGGGTGGGTCACATAGGAATTTTCCTCGTAACCTTCCCTAGCTGGGAAAAAAACCTTCGTGAGTCACAAGACTGGGAGGACAAACTGGGTATGAGCTAACAGAAATCTGGGCAGGATTCCGAAAGTAAACAATGTTGATTTCTCAGCACAAGGGAAGCCTTGCCCAATGCGGTTCAAACTCACCTCAATACTCACTGCTTTCCACATGAATTGCTCGGACTGAGATTTTTTTCCAATTTCAAAAAAAAAGTACATCATTCAAAGCAAATAATAGGTATTTTCGCTTCCTGCCAATGCAGACCCCTGGGAGGCGTTGGATTCAGAGGCAACTGAGGGAGAGAAACTCTTAGTTCAGATAAAGCATTTTGTTAGTTTGGAGAGAGACTGATGGAGCGCTTCCTGGCGGGGAAGTCTTTGGCCACTTCCACATGGTGGCATGACTGGGTGAGGAAAATGCGCGGGGGACACAGCATGGCATTTCATACGTCGTAGGCAGGGGGGATGGGAGAAGACAGCAGCCCCTCAGTTTGTGCGTGCATGTGACGTGTAGCACGGAGTCCTGCTCATGGCAAGTGTTGACCTTTTGCAGAGACAAGGTCAGGGTGATTCAGCATTCTAGACATTCCTGGATGGGGGCGTTGGCTTGACTTCAGCAGGGTGCTTTAGTCACTTCTGCTCTGCCCACCTAAGAGGGTGGGTAACAGTGATAAGTCAGTGGGGGCCCCCGCTGCCCATACGGGAGCCCTGGGGTCGAGTCCCCTGCTCCTGGCTTTGCGCCATCCCCTCCCCGCTGTGGGAATTTGGAAGCGAGCTGGTGGATGAGAACTTGGTCTCTCTGCCTCTCCAACAAATAAAAGCAGTAAGTAGCCCCACTTGGACACGGCCTAAACACGGCACGGTTCCTGAGGGGCACAAGCAGACCCTCATTCCTGCTCAGTACAATCCCTGGACGGTAATAAGATGACCTTGAGGGAATTGCATGTGGCATGTGTGTCCCGTAGTAAAATCAGTCCTATTTCTCACAGAGCAAATGCGGAATCTCACAGAACTAGGGGAGGGGGCGGCACTGTGACTTCCTTGAGACCTCCGTTAGTGTCAGAGCTCAAATATCTCTTGTATGTCTCTTCAGTAGCTCGCCAGTCTCAGGACATCAGAAAAGCTGGGAAGAATGCAATACCTACAAATTTCAGAGTTTCATCCAAGAAGATTCCTGAGTGAACCAAGTGATCCTTCTGCACCTTCCGCCTCCCCTCAAAGCACCAAGAGACATGTGAGGAATATTTTTTTAAGATTTATTTATTTAGGGCCCGGCGCGGTGGCGCAAGTGGTTGAGGTCCTCGCCTTGCACGCCCGGGATCCCATATGGGCGCCGGTTCTATCCCCAGCGGCAGCCCCGCTTCCCTTCCAGCTCCCTGCCTGTGGCCCGGGAAGGCAGTCGAGGACAGCCCAAAGCTTTGGGAACCTGCACCCGCGTGGGAGACCCGGAAGAGTCTCCTGGCTTCGGATCGGCATAGCATCGGCCGTTGTGCTCACTTGGGGAGTGAGTCATCGGATGGAGGATCTTCCTCTCTGACTCTCCTCTCTGTATATCTGTCTTTCCAATAAAAAAATAATAAAAATAAATCTTTAAAAAAAAAAAATACAAGATTTATTTATTTATTGGAAAGTCAGATATACAGAGAGGAGGAGAGACAGAGAGGAAGATCTTCTGTCCACTGACTCACTCCCCCAAGTGACCGCAATGGCCAGTGCTGCGCTGATCCGAAGCCAGGATCCACGAACCTCTTCCGGGTCTCCCACATGGGTGCAGGGTCCCAAAGCCTTGGGCCATCCTCCACTGCTTTCCCAGGTCACAAGCAGGGAGCTGCTTGTGGGATGGGAAATGGAGCAGCGGGATTAGAACCAGCACCCATATGGGATCCCGGTGCATTCAAGGTGAGAACTTTAGCAGCTAGGCCACGCCGCCAGGCCCGAGGAATATTTTTCAAGCCAAGCTTTCAGGGACCAACTAAGTCTCGGACCAAATAGGGTCTTCAGATTCTACTCAGGGGAAATCTAACAAAATCATCAGGAGCAAGCTAATTTTTCTTGACATTTATTTAAAGGGCAGAATTACAGAGAAGGGAGAAGTAAAGTCGGAGAGAGAGAGAGAAATTCTGGGTCTGCTGCTTCACTCCCTCTAACGGCCATCATGGTCAGACCAAAGCCACGAGACGGGCGCTTCAACAGAGGGTCGCCCACGTGGCTGCAGAGGCCCAAACACTTGGGCTACCTTCTGCTGCTTCCCCAAGTATATTAGCAGGGAGCTGGATTCGAAGTGGAGCAACCAGGACCTAAATTGGCCCCAGTAAGGATGCCAGCACTGCATGGGGTTGGCTTACCACTCTGCTGCAGCCTCACCCCATGCCACCAAGTAGGATTTACACAGTGCTCCTGTACCTGCACCTGCACAGCTGCACTTCCGCCCAGCAGGCTCTTTTCTTTTCTTTCCAGAGTTATTTATTTTTGTTGGAAAGGCAGATTTCCAGAGAGAAGGACATACAGAGAGAAAGAACTTTTGTCCGATGATTCACTCCCCAAGTGGCCACAATAGCTGGAACTGACCGGATCCAAAGCGGGGAGCCTGGAGCCTCTTCTGGGTTTCTCATGTGGGTGCAGGTCCCATGGCTTTGGGCTGTCTTCGACTGTGTTCCCAGGCTGCAAGAAGGGAGCTAGATGGGAAGCGGGGCTGCTGGGATTAGAACCAACGCCCATATGGGATCCTGGCTAGGCTACTGCATTGGGTCCATGTTCTTCTTTGTAATTAAAACAATCATTTCATCTACCTGAAAGGCAGAGCAACAGAGAGAGAGAGAGAGATCTTCTGACAGTTGATTCACTCCTCAAACACCTGCAATAGCCAGCGCTGAGTCAGGCCAAGGCCAAGAGCCAGTAACTCATCTTGGTCTCCTGTGTGAGTGGGAGCAGACACTTGAGCCATCATCCTTAGGAGTCTGTTTCTCTATTTTAGTGTAGTGGATTTCCAAGAAATGTAAAATTAGAAGAGAAGTTGATGAATAAATGCCCGCCCTCTTTTGTTCCTGTTTAAAAAAAAAAATGTTGGCCCATTGTGATGGCTCAATTGGCTAATCCTCTGTGGCAAGCACCGACCAGCATCCCATACTGGCTCATGTTCTGACTGCTCCACTTCCCATCCAGCTCCCTGCTTATGGCCTGGGAGAGCAGTTGAGGATGGCTCAAGGCCTTCGGACCCTCCTGCACATGCGTGGGAGACTCAAAAGAAACTCCTGGCTCCTGGCTTTGTATTGGTTCAAACTCTGGCCATTGTAGCCATTTGGGGAGTGAACCATCAGATGCAAGATCTTTCTCTCTGTCTCTCCTTATCTCTATAATTCTGCCTTTCCAGTAAAAGTAAATAAATCAAAAACAAAGCAAAACAAAAACCCCACATTGCCGAAGATGAGGAAAATTGGAATCCCTTATCTTGCTAGTGGGGCTGTGAAACAGGGAAGGCACTGGGGAAGAGTGTGGCAACTTTTGCTAGCATAAATACAGTATTATCATCTGACCCAGCAACTCTGCTGCTTGGTATGTATTTAAGGGACTCGACAGCAAAAGTTCAAACAAGAACTTGTACGCAGAACTTGTTCACGGCAGCACCATTCACGATAGCAAAAGATGGAAACGAGTCCAACACCCACTGATGAATTCACAAGTCAAGTGTATTCTATTCCAGTGGTAGAGTATTACTTAGCCACATGTGCTTCAACATGAACAAACCTGGAAATCATTGCAGTAAGTGAGAGAAATTAGATGCAAAGGCCACGTACTTTAGCAGTCCCTTTGTATGAAATGCACAGAGAGGTCAACCCAAAGTGACCGAGAGCCAATGACCGATTGCTGGGCCTCGTGCAGAGAGTCAGGCATGAAGTTAAGGATGTGGGGTTTCTTTTTGGAGTGGTGACGTACTCCGGAACTGGTGATGCTGGTTGTACATGTTGTGCGTGTAGTCAGTTTCAGTAAATGGCCAATTTGAAACTGCTGAGATTTTATTTAAGAGGCAGACAGCCAGGAGAGTGTTCACATTTGCTGGTTCCTTCCCAGATGCTCCCGGTGGCCTGCCGAGCTGGGCCAAGGCTAAAGCTAGGCCTTGGGAATGCAATCCAGCTCTCCCGTGGAGGTGGTTGGAACGATCAAGGCCTAGATTGGAACGAATGCGCTTTTGCCAGGTTCTTGCCTGCTAGAGAAGCAGCCTAGGAATAGGTCCAACTACAGACAAGGTGACAACGTTTATTTAAAATATGAGGAAGTCACATACACACCTGTGCCCTGTTCAGGGGTAGAGTGGGCCAGGAATGGTGGGGAAGGGATGTTTTCTCTGCTAGCTCATGTGTGTCCCCCAGAAGAGACAGAGAAAAATGCCTCCCCGATTGCCAGGCTTCTTAGGAGCCTAGGAAGGGGAGTGATTACTGAACACTGCCCCCAGGTCCCAGGTGAGGGGAAGTGCAGCCTGGGGCCAAGGGGTCAAGTCAAGTGCTACTGGTTGGTTGTGTGACCTTAGACCTCTAGGTTTATCTTCCCATCTGTAGAACAGGAAGCCAGTCTTGCAAGTCCCTTTCTCCTTCTCTTTTTTTCCTTCATCTTTCTTCTCGCTTTCTCCTTCAGTATATTTTTCCATTTTCTGAAACTTCAGCTTCATCTATTCGTTTCCCCCAGACAAGATCTAAACATTTTTACTATGCAACTTCCTCATAGTGGCTCCAGGAGCACCGGTGTTTTTCTCAGTAGCAGACACCAGGAGAGATTCATTCCATGTCAGCCAGGGTATTCTGTGCTCTGCAGGTGGAGCAGGGCAGCTTCCAAAGGGACTGGGACTCGTCGGTGTAGATAGGTGGGGTCCGGAGTTACAAGCTGCTCAGCTTGCAAACCACACAGGCTTCCTGTGAGCCACGCATTACACCGGCCTCACCAAGCACTTTAACCATCATTTTGTGGGCAAGGGCTCCAATGGTAGGATTATAGAATGATGTGGAGGGATGTTAATATAAGTGTGCAATCCTGGCCTGATTGAACCCTGACTTGCTTTGAACTCAGAGCTGTGATTCTGCAGTTGTCCACCTAACTTTTCTTTCTGTATATAATTTCCAACAAGGTAGTAATGGTGGTTAAAAATGTGCACTTATTTCCATCTTATTCTTTTTTTTTAAAGATTTATTTTTATTTTTATTGGAAAGGCAGATATACAGAGAGGAGAGACAGAGAGGAGAGACAGAGAGAGAGGAAGATCTTCCGTCTGATGATTCACTCCTCAAGTGAATCATCGCCGATCCAGAGCCAGGATCCAGGAACCTCTTCTGGGTCTCCCACACAGGCGCAGGGTCCCAAAGCCTTGGGCCGTCCTCAACTGCCTTCCCAGGCCACAAGCAAGGAGCTGGATGGGAAGTGGATCTGCCGGGACTAGAACGGCCGATGCTATGCCGATCCGAAGCCAGGAGCCTCTTCCGGGTCTCCCACGCGGGTGTAGGGTCCCAAAGCCTTGGGCCGTCCTCCACTGCTTTCTCAGGCCACAGGCAGGGATCTGGATGGAAAGTGGGGCTGCCAGAATTAGAACCGGCGCCCATATGGGATCCGGGGCGTGCAAGGCGAGGACCTTAACCACTGCACCATCGCGCTGGGCCCTATTCTTTTTTTTTTTTTTAATTATTTACTTTTATTAGAAAGATTTACCTAGAGAAGGAAGGACAGAGAGAAAGAGCTCCATCTGCTGGTTCACTCCCCAAGTGGTCACAATGACTGGAGCTGAGCTGATCTGAAGCCAGGAGCCAGGAGCTTTTTCCAGGTCTCCCATGTTGATGTTGGGTCCCAAGGCTTTGGACCATTCTATGCTGCTTTCCAAGGTCACAGGCAGGGAGTTGGATAGGAAGTGGAGCTGCCGGGATTAGAACTGGTGCCCATATGGGATCCCAGCGCGTTCAAGGTGAGGACTTTAGCTGCTAGGCCACAGCGCCGGGCCCATCTGCTTCACTTTTCAAACGGCTACACAGGTCTGGGCTGCATCAGGCAAAATCTAGGAACCCAGAAATCCATTCTGATCTCCCTGCGGTTGGCAGGGGCCAGCATACTTGCTCCCTCCTCTGCTGGGAGTTGGATCAAAAGTGAGAAGCTGGAGGTTAAATTGGCACTCCCAGGTGTGACGTGGGTGGTTCGGGTAACATGGGGACCCATTTCATCCTCATGACCTACCCCCCATGTTTGGGATGTTGCTCCCCAGGTGGCTGGGGACTTTGCAGGACTGTCTCACACAATGGAGAATGACTTGATTGCTGACTTCAGTGCTGAGTTCCAATGACAACATTTCAGAGATGCACACTGAGGTATCTACGGGTGAAATGACTCAGAACAGTGTGGGGTAGGGAAGCAAGTGGCGATCTGGGCTGTCAGTGGGTTGGGTAAGGAGCTGGGCTCAGATACACTCTATTTCTATTCAGATACATTGGAAATTTGAACAAAGCAATTTAAAAAATATTTATTCTGGGCCCAGCACCACTGCCTAGCAGCTAAAGTCCTCCCCTTGAACGCACTGGGATCCCATATGGTGGTGGTTCTAATCCCAGGAGCCCCATTTTCCATTCAGCTCCCTGCTTGTGGTCTGGCAAAGCAGTCAAGGACGACCCAAAGCCTTGGGACCCTGCACCTTTGTGGGAGACCCTGAAAGAGGATCTGGGTTTCTGGCTTCAGAATGGCGCAGCACCGGCCGTTGCACTCACTTAGGGAGTGAATCATCTGATGGAAGATATTTCCCTCTGTCTCTTCTCCTGTCTCTCTCTATATATCTGACTTTGCAGTAAAAATAAATAAATATTTAAAAATTTATTTCTACTGGAAAAGCAGATTTGCAGAGGAGAGACAGAAAGATCTTCCTCTGCTGGTTCACTCCTCAAATGGCTGCAGTGGCTGGAGCTGAGTCAGTCAGCAGCCAGGCGCCAGGCGCTTCTTCCAGGTCTGGCATGTGGGTATTGGCTCCCACGGCTTTGGGCCATCCTTCACTGCTTTCCCAAATCATAAGCAGGGAGTTGAATGGCAAGTGGAGAGACCGGGGCAGGATCTGGCATCCATATGGGATGCTGGTTCTTGCAAGTTGAAGATTTGCCAGTTGGGCCCGGTGCGATGGCACAGTGGTTAAGGTCCTCGCCTTGCATGCCCACGATCCCATATGGGCGCCGGTTCTAATCTAGGCAGCCCCACTTCCCATCCAGCTCCCTGCCTGTGGCCTGAGAAAGCAGTCAAGGACGGCCCAAACCTTCGGGACCCTGCACCCACGTGGGAGACCGGGAAGAGGCTCCTGGCTTCGGATCAGCTCAGCTCCAGCCTTTGCGGCTGCCAGAAGAGTGAATCATTGGATGGAAGATCTTCCTCTCTGTCTCTCCTCTCTGTATATCCGCCTTTCCAATAAAAATAAAATAAATCTTTAAAAAAAAAAAAAAGAAGAAGAAGATTTGCGAATTGAGCTATTATACTGTCCCCAGAATGAAATTTTTGTTTTGTGTGCATCTATTTTATTTTTCATGTTATTTATAAAGTTGAGAGGGATGCATGCCCATGTAGCCTTTGATTAGGCTAGGGAGGGTCAGCAATAGATGCAGGTGGGCGGGACTCACTTTCAGATTTGCCCCACCCCTCCTTTGTCCTCAGGGGAGAAGGGGAAAGGTGTCACTCCTTGCTGCCTAGCAGAATCAGCACCCAGGGGTAGGGGGTGGTCTTTTGATGAGGCCAGTGTGGGTCAGTGTTCATGAGTGGTTTTGATAGTTTTGAGAAGTGGTTGGTTTCATTGCTCCAGGGTTGACAACATCTTTCCAAGGGCAGCTGGTTGACAAGGCCCAACTTAGTGCATCCCCAGGCCCAGCAGAATCCAACCTGTTTTATTTTCCATCCTCTGATGAAGGAAATGACACCCCCTGCTGGCCTAAATGAGCTTGCCATCATTTCCCATCCTGCATATCTGGAAATGCTGTCCACTGCAGAGGCATCTGCAACTGAGCAGGCCCAGTTCTGATGCACAGACTCCAAGGTTGGACCATCCATCCTGTGATTTTCTCCTGTAAGCAGGGTCTGAGTCCAGTAGTCCGGGCGGGGAGTCTCCCAGGAAGCCTTGCCTGGGTATGACCTCAGGTTGGGCTCTTATGTGTGCCAGCCAGCCAGTGCAGGGTCAGGTGTGATCCGTCACATGCACCAGCCAATGATGTACCGGTGGGATGCAGCTGCTTGGTCAGTTCTGCCTCAGCCCCCAAAGCAACAGGTTCTGCGGCTTACCTCAGCTAGCCCTCCATAGACCTGATCCTCATACATACCAGGGAGTGCGTGACCTAGTTAGAGTGACCCTTAATATCCCTCATCAGGCCCACCCCTAACCCTGGTTTTTGCACATGCCAGCCTCTGCTGCAGCCTCCCTTGGGCCCATCCCACATTCCATCCAGCTCCTGAGCACACCCACGGGTTGTGGTGCTTAGCTCAGCTTGACCCACCCCCAGATTTAGCCCTCATGTACGCTGCCTCCTGGCTCTCCTTGGCTTACCCACAGCTGTAGTTCTTGTGCTCACCAGTGGTAGTAGGTACAGGCTAGCAGGAGTGTGCCCACAGTTGCCCCTGTCAGGCATGTTCCCAACCCTGCATGTTATACCTGCCAGGTGGCGATGTGATCCAAGGTGACATGACTCATATCCAGTACCAGCACTTGCCACCTGGTGCTGTGGCCTAGCTCAACTGCCCTGCACCTATTCTAGCTCTCAGGCGTGTCAGTGGGTTCAGCAGCCTAACCCAGCCTGACCCACCCTCAGATCAGCCCGTCCTCTGTCCAGCTCTCATGCTCACCAGTGGGAACAGGAGCCCAGCAATGGAGTCCCCAGAGTTTCCCTACCAGGCTAGCTCCCAACCCTGGGTCTGGCATGTACTAGCAGGTGCTGTGGCTGAATCTGAAATGGCCCTACCCCAGTTTCCACATTCACCAGCAGGTGCTCGAGCCTGGTTCAACCCAGCCCAACCCCAGTCCCAGCTCTTATCAGTACTTGCAGAAGCCTACCCAAGCCTAGCCCACTTCAGCCCTCATGTGAACTGGTGGGTGTTGTAGTCCAACCTGGCCTGGCCTGCCATCTGTCCTGGCTCTCACTCATGCCAGTACCCATTCTAGCTGTCACCAATGGGAGCTACAGCCTAGCCCAGCCTTGCCCACACCCATTCTGACTCTTGCAAGTATCAATAGATGCTGGAACACAGCCTAGTTTGGTCTGCCTTCAGAACTAGCCCATATGTATGCCAGTGGGTGCTGCAGTCCAGCCTGGTTTGTCTAGCCCCTCAGTGAGAGCTGCTGCCCAGCAGAGGAGTCCTCAGAGTTCCCCTACTACACCTGTTCCCAGTCCTAGTTCTTGTGAATGCTGGAAGGTGCTTCAACCCAGCCTGACATGGCCCATCTGCAGTCTCAGCTCTCGCTGGCAAGTGTTACAGCGTGGCCATTAAGGCATGGTCCACACCCTGTCTTGGTTCTTGTGCAATGGGTGCTAAACCTG